GCTGCGCGGGCCTGCCCCGCCCCCCGGCGGCGGGGTCAGAGGGGAGCGCGGCGGTGGCCTAGCAACGGTCGCCTAGCAACGGGCAGCGGCGGGCAGCGACGGGCCCTGCGCCCGCGGCCGGGGACGCTCCAGGCCGGGCCGTTTCCCCCTCGTTGTCCCCTCGCAGAACAGGGGGCAGCGGCAGTGCCAGGACTGCAGCACAACATCCAAGGGACCCTCGGAGACCTCTCAGATGGGATCTGGCCTCGCACACGGAGCCCTCAACCAGCTCCATGATCTAAACCAAAGGATTCCCCTTCTGCCCCAAATGAAGGGCAAAAATACCTCAGCTGGGGGAAGATTTCCTGAGGAATGTGGTATTACACTAAAATGTGATGATTTGGGGTCAGAGCTGTGCTGATTCCCACCTCAGGCTACTTCCCACCAGGCTTCAGGCATCTGCACCACAATCTGCACGTAAAACCCAGCACTGAACTCGAAAGAGTGAAGTGGACAAGGGAGAAATTAATTAATTAATTAATTAATTAAATGTATGCTCCTTAAGATACCTGGCTCTCCTACAAGGTGCTGCGTCCAGGTGGATCCCTGTCGAGAGAGACATGCAGCTCCCACAGGATATGGCAGCCAGGGGCAATGCAGCACCAGGTGTTGCCCTGCGTTAGGGTTTTGTTGTTATTTTTTATTTTTTTTCTTTATGGAGGGTTGGAGAATCCCACAGTACCTGGGAGCTCATGAGCCCCCTCCTGCCAGGCACATCCACCTGCTGCCTCGAACAGGGCTCCCACTTTTGCATCCATCTTCAACCCTTCTGTCTCCATCTAGTGTCCAAATCACACTTGTTCCTGCCCACTTGAGCGCCTGGCACATTTACCAGCTTGCACGTTGCCAGCCTGACATCCAAATTAAGCTTAACAGGCTCAGATTCGTGTCATCATCCCCTACGCCTCCTCCGAGAAGCCTCTAATTACTTTCATGTCCCTACACTTTTTAACCAGATGCTGGATTAGCAGCAAGACAAAACGTAGGGAGTGCTCACAGCTCGCAGCGAATTGCGAGTGAAGATCCTCACCCTGACGGGTCTTTAATGACACCGGGGTTTGGGGGCTTCCTACCTGCCAGGACGGCGGCAGCACCGAGCGCCGCTGCGACTGCGGCAGAACTTGCAGACGCTCATCCACAGCAATGGTGCCTCTAAACCTGCTTCTCCACGGGCCTCACTTTAGTGTGTAAGGAGAGGAATAAGCAGCTGCTGAGAGCCACCAAAACTGCCCGTCCGAGCACTTCTGCAGGCTGCTTTCTATTCCCAGCATTGGGAAGGAGGCTCCGACCTGTATCTGAATTATCTCAACCAAGGAGGGATGCTGTCTGCGAAGTAGGAGAAGCTATGGGAGGATTTTTCAAAGAAACATGAAAATATTGGGACCTGGCACCTCTTGAGTTTCCCATCCAGCCATGTATCCTTTTCTGGTCACTTCTCATCTGAATACGGATTGAATATGTACTGAATATACAGTCATAGATGTTTCTCTTTCTTGGGAAATCAGGCTGTGCTATGTGCTGCCATAAAGGCCAATACAACCCAAGCACCTCCTCTCACATATTCTTTGCATTAAACAAACAAGCAGTGCTTTTTAGGTCTAATATCCAGTGATTCCTTTGCATTCCCAGCTTCAGGGACCACCTCCCTTCCCGTAAGAGGGCAGAAATCCTGGCTGCAAATCCCAAGTCATCTGGCCTTACTTCTATTCAAAAAGGGGCACCTGAAGGACTGAGTTGCTCTTTTCCACCTCAGGAACAGCAGTCTGAGATTTGTTTCACTACAAGACTCTCTGGGGATATTAGCTGTGCCCAAGGGCTGAACTCACCGCGAGGCCGAGATCGCACAGCAGCGCCCACGCACCAAAAGGAGGTGCCTTAGGTTTGCCTTAGGTTTATTTCTGCTCCACGTGGCACTGCTGTGACAGCACCTCGCAGTGCCCAGGATGAATCTCAGCGTTTTTGTGCCCAGCCAGCAGGGTCCGATTCCAAGCGGCTGCTGATTTCACCGAGACAGATCTGAGCTCTGCCACACATGCTGTCGCTGTAAGAGATCACACCAGGAAAACGGATAGGGCAATACCATTCCTCACCTTTCTGCTCACTCTCCCTCTTCTTTCCTTGGCCAAAGGGGATTGACATTAAAATGTTAATAAATTAGTGAATCCAGCAGAGAGTGACCAAGATTGTCAGAGGCTGGAGCACGTGCCCCATATCAGAAGGTGCAAATAAAACCATCTTGTTCAACCTGCAGAATGAAGGTTTGGGGAGGATCTCAGAGCAGCACCACTGGAGGTCACCAAGACGACGATGCCAGGCTCTTTGCTGAGGTGTATGGCGGAGAACAGACAAACACTGAAACAAGAGAGGCTCTAGATGGATTCAAGAAGAAGCTTCTCATCGCAAGGGCAGCGAGCACTAGAACAGGCTGCCAGAGACATCGGGCGGTCTCGGTCCTCGGCAGCTTCCAAGACTCAACTGGGTAAAGCCCCAGGCAGCCTGGTCCGGCTCTGCAGCAGACCCTGCTCTGAGCAGGTTGGGCTGGAAACTTCCTACGGTGCCATCCAGCCCAAACGAGGCTGCGACCGTCCGGATGGAGCCAGACCCCGCTCTCCTGAGAAGTGGCCACTGGAGGTTCATGTCAGGGCACCAACAGACCCGAACTGCCCTGGGACCTTCACCAGGCACTGTCTGCTCCACAGAGCCCCATCCACATGTAGGTCCCATATCCCCATCCTGCCCCGTGCGCTGCAGCTGCGCCTGCTCCGGTCCTGCTCCTGCTGTCCTGACTGGACATCCTGCATGGAAGCACCTGGACTTGTTACCTCGCCTTGTCTGATAATCCCAGCAGAGGCAAACGAAGGCTGCGAGTATCACAGGGGCTGTCCTGCTCCAGGAGGGTCCTCGCTGCCCCGCTGACACTGCAGCCGCTCTCGGCTCCCTGCTCCTCCTCCCTCCTGGAGCAACCCCCCATCCCGCTGCTCCCTGGCGGCTCCATCCCTTGTGCCCAGGAGGCTCCAGGGACCTCGGAGACCTGCTCATTGGGACATCCACCCCGTGACACGGATAAATGAGGGGTGTATTTACATGGAGAGGGATGTTCCAGTTACTTCCAGGGAGGTCTGGGTTTGCAAACACCCGCTGCCTTGGAGTTCCTGGTGAACGAAGGTGCAGACACACTGCTAGACCGGACCCTCATCAGAGAGCTGCGCGGTGTTGCAGGGGCTGTTGCAGGGCACTGATTTTTATGCTTTTCTGTCTTGGTGTTGCCTGCATTCAGCCGGGTGAGGGACTGGGAACGTCCTCTGTTGGGAGCACCCCAGCCCTCAGAGTCCAAACCGCTCTCGCGTCGTCTCCAGATGTAGGATTTGCCCCTACCCTCTGTGCTGAGGTCTCCTAGCGCCAGGGATGCCGGAGCTTGTGGGTGGATGGCTCTTAAGGGCGTCTCCTTGGAGCGGGAGGAAAGGCCGGGCTGGTGCCGGGGGGCGGACGAGGGGCTCCAGAGCAGCGGACGGAGTTTGGCTACATCTTCTCTCTTCATCCAAGAAGCTGCCCAGGCCGGATCTTCCCGCTTGGTGCCAAACAGGGACTCATCGCAGTACGATGGAGTGTGACTTTTCAACCTTGGAGGAGAAGCAAAGAGAGAGAGAGAGAGAGAGAGAGAGAGAGAGAGAGAGAGAGATTGCTGTTAAGGAGGGAAAAGACAAAAGAGAGGCCTAATTCTGCATGCCAAGGGAATGAGCATTCAAAAGAGAAGAAACGCATTGGAGAAGGTCCCAAAGGGTTCCTCGTGGAGGGCCACGCTGTGGTTGTGCTCGACATGCTGAGACCGCATCCCGCGTTCCCAGGGCTGCCCCAACGCACCGGCCGCGGGACCCCAGTGCC